CGTATGAAATTGAACTTTTGAATTATAATGCTGCTATTATTCGATTGCTCCCTTACCGTCCCTACATTTGCAAAAGGTCATGAATGATTGCATTTAGAGGGTCGTTTATCCTGAAATTCCAGGCCCCCCAGAGTTCATGTGGACTCAAGCATGAGTTGTGGGCTGGCCCCAAACGTTATGGCCCACCTCAAGAGCCTTTAATGACCCATAGGTTCTTTAAAGCAAACATTGTTAATTGGTATAAGACAATTCCATGTGAGCATAATTTCTTTCCCTAGGAATAAAATTAGACTCTCCTACTTAATCATTACTCTGGAATTAGCTAAATGTTGAACAATTTGTGAACATACGTTAGAATGCTTTAGGCGCACATTTAATCTATTATCGTGATCATGTATACGTTCGCGTAACATAATTACGATTCCCAATATAAATCAAAGTACGCGTTCGCGCGACTTTGGCCAAAACAATCTTAATAATTAATAAAGCGTGATTAATTATGTATACGTACGCGTGACATGACTTGAGTGCCCCAAAATAAAGCGGATCTACACACACATGATCCGTTTCAAAGATAAATCCATAAACGCCATAATTAAAAGCAATAAAAGGAAAATGCACATAGGTTCTAAGACACGTAATTAAGCCAGGTATGATTAAAGCCACGAAATTCGGGAATGCCTAACACCTTCTCCCGGGTTAACAGAATTTCTTACCCGGTCTTCTGGTTTTCGCAGACTTTAAACAGAGTCAAATTTCTTCGATTTGAGATTTAAAATAAACCGGTGACTTGGAACACCATAAATATTCCAAGTGGAGACTCTGAATTAAATAAATAATCTCATTTTGATTAATGTCACTTAAATTAAAAAAACTCCCCTATCCCTCGGGATAAAGGAGGTGTGACAAGAGTAAGACGAAAATGAATGTTGCTTAAACTAATAATTGATTTGTTTTTTTAATTTCATTATGGATTGCCACTAATTCCTTGAGATAACCATGTGATCCTTTTTTATTTAGAAAAAATACCGGTTTGAAAGGAACAAAGGGTTGATTCTGGTAGAACTTTTATGGAATTTTATGTGCGAATTCAAATTTAATCGAACTCAAATATAAATACCAAATACTCAATGGAAAATAAAAAGAAATTGAACTTCACCTTTAAGCAATATGCATCTTTACAATCAAGAATATCACTCAATTTACAATCTACTGGTTCGACTAATTTAGATTTGCATTGGGTACGCTCACTAAAGTGTACAACGCGAAGATTGAAGGGATCCCAACTATCCTCATATCCCTTGGTGATCTTGCTAAGAACTCATCAACATATGCAGTTATTGGGTGTGAGAACAAAGTCCCACATTGGTAGCTAGTGGCGACACCCCTTCGTAGAAAAATTATACTGTTTAGCTCGGTAATGTTTTTTAAAATATGTATATATACTATATATTGACATCCCTTGACTTATTGGTGAATTTATCTATTTATATTTTGACTCCCCTTAATGAAAATCCTGGCTCCGCCACTGTTGGTAGCTAAAAAGATTTGGAGCCTATATATAAAGTGTAGGGATCTCTTAATGGTGTGAGACCTTTGGGAAAAAATATGCGGGCTTGGCAAATCGGACAATATCACACCATATCACACCATGTTAAGAGTGTCATTGAGCTAGTTTAGCCCAACAATTGATATTACAGCCCAAGTTCGGCGGGATGAGTATGGAGATAGCAAAGTGATGGTGCGGGGCCGGTGCGCATACAAGAGGAAGTTAGTTGCGGGCTTCGGTCAATGTGGGTGGCACACAGTGAATCTCGAAGGTGTGCGAGCAAAGTCTCACATTAATAGCTGAAAAGATTAGGAGCCTACATATAAGGTGTAAGGATCTATGATATGAGGCCTTTTGGGGAAAACCGTACAAGTTTGGCCCAAAACGGACAATATCATACCATGTTAAGAGTGTCATTACGGTAGTTTAGCCCAAGAGAAGTAAAATAGAAAACATATGTATAAGTAGAATGAAAACCACAACATTTCAACTAAATAGACCTGAAATTGACTTATAAGTTATACTTATGCATCTACCTAATTATCTTACCAAAAAATTCAAATGACGAAACTTAATTTCAAGATGTTGAAACTCAATTGGACCCATGTCACTGTTGCTGTTAGCGTAAGTCTTTATTTTATACAAAAACAAAAGTAATCTTTGAAATCCTCTTCACTAAGGCACTATAATTCTTAATTCTAAACTAGTAAGCAATAATTTACTTTAATTAGTTCATCATTTCGGTGAAAAAATAATCTTTTTCTTATTGGAAACTCTTCATTATTGACTTAGTTGTCACATTATGTTTTATTTATTTATTTTCTAACAACTAGGATGATTTGATTCATTTAATAACTCCCACGTTCTGTCTTATTTTATATTTTGACAGTTATATCCTAACAAAAGATTTTTAGAAAAATAGAACTGGACAAACACACGAAGGGTCAGTTATTTGGAATAATATATTTTCAACATCTTTGAATTTGTAGTATCACACCATGACACCATCTTCTTAGTTGGAACTTGGAAGATATGGTTAGGTTATCTAATTGCTTGATTTCTTAAATGAAGCAATCTAAAAATCAAATTAGAAAATACCAACCAGCCAAGAATTTCCTATGAAAATTAAGAAGATTTTTTGTCTAAAAAAATATTAGGCCACGTTGTAGGAAAATGAAGCTACATGTTGTTCAACATTGTTAGTGGTGGGAAGTATATGATTTCCTCAATTAGAGGTCTTGCGTTCGAGCTCTAAGAATGAAAAAATCCGTGTAAGTGCTTGCCCCTTTTAATGGGCTTTACTCAGAATGAGTTCAAATTAATCGAGACCCCAATGTGAGCACCGGATACATGGTGGAAAATAGACCTGTCAAATGGGCCGGGTCGACCCACGAACCGGCCCACATAACCCATTAAATTAAAATTGACCCTTTAATCGGTCCATGACCCATGAAACCCTAACCGGACCAACTCATTAATTAAAGGGGCCTAGGCCAGACTATAATATTTTGACCCACTGAATAGGACCGGACATGAACCGGTAGCTAACCCATGGGTCAACCCGCCCGAACCAGCTCGATAAGAATTGTTTTAAAAAATATAGAGTATATTAGAGTTTTAAGAGTTGTAAAAGTATAGAATTAGAGTATATTAGAACATCATTTTTCTTATGTATCAGACTATTAGTTATAGAAATAGTCGAATTTCATATGTTTCTCAAATTTTAATGTTAATAAAGTATGATTTTTCTTTCATTTTTATTCTAATTGGTTTCAAGAACATGTAGTAATTTCAAGTTCGTATATATGTATAAAAATTTATCATTTATTAGTTTTTTGACTTAAATTGGATTTGACCTATTAAGGCCCGGGTTACGGGGTACGGGTCCGTGTCAGGCCAAGAGGTTTTGATTAATGGGTCAAATCCGGACCTGTCCCTATAAGAAAGTGAACCGAACCGGCCCGGTTAAGGATCCACAGGCCAAAAGTCAACGGGTTCGGGTTGACCCATTTAAGTGGGAAATTAAAGAGATGCTATAAACATGAAACCTTTTTTTCGCTCTTTAGGAAAATGATTATGAATTTTGTTCAAGGACCAGAATAAATAAGTTGGTGCTGAAATTATGTTACAAAATATTAAACGTAGTTAATTTATGCTTCAAGATACGATGAAAATACTTTTTTTAAGAACGGTGATGAAAGAAATACTTTATTCTTTATTCAAGAAGGTATTCGTATACATTATTAAATAGATTGCGTCATATATGTGGCTTTTTTTTGGATTCCCACCCAATATCTAATATTCATTCAAGCTCTATTAATTTGAATTTGTGTCGCGTAAAATTAACTAAAGGGGAAATGCTTTATACCAAGATATTTTTATTTTTAGGGTTCGAATCCAAGACTTCTGATTCTTATTTTTTAGCTATCCACCAAGTCTTGGAGCAATTTTTATTTCGTAAATTATCATACACCAGAATAACCTTTAATGATATATGAAACATGTATACAGTAATATTTATGTTAATTTTTAGTAACAATTTATATTTCCATCTAACTTGAAAAATTAGCCCATTAATTGTGCACAAAGATTACTTCTGCTCTTTTAATTTTGCGTTAGTCAATGATTAATTTTCTAATACAAAGTCTGGCATCTTTTACACTTTTTAAATTATCTATTTTAGTTTTGTGCTTGGAGGGTGGGGAAGGTTGTGATTTCCACTTCGAACTTGCGACTAATTCATAGATTAGTAGGCAAAGTTGATGATTAATTATTTGACTTTCTTAATTCATATATAAATTATCAACTTTTTGTATATGAACTTAAATTATTATTTGACGCTTGAGAGAGAGTTCATAGAGTAACTGCACGTCTTTATCAGTTAGGTAGGGTTATTTTTAATCCTTCCTACATATTGTTTTATCTTTATATTAATATACTTCTCAAGGACAAAGTCGTGATAAGATTAATTATATATATATATATGTATCAAAAATAATATTTAATGCAAACATATTATGGCTGTAATAATATTTAATGTAACATACTATCTGCCCAGTTAAATTACGAGTTAAATGAATTTGAAATATAATCAATAGACTAAGCAGAGTAAAACTCAGATGAGCAGAGAGGTTGACACAAGCCGTCTTGTTTTTTGTTTTAACCAGTATTTTTTGGTTTCCCAAATTAGTGTGTGGTACCTACACTGGAGCCCGACTAATTCTGATTCACGTCGAAAAATTTCTCTTTAAGGGAGGAGGAGGAGGGGGACACTTCTACCAAAAAATTCAAACTCGAGACCTCTTATTAAGAATGAAAAAATATTTAACACTCTGTCACAACATTCGTGATACAATAGCCGTCTTGTAACATTGCAGGGTACGTAATTGATATAAAGTCAATAAAAATAAAACATTCAAAATGAAGTTAAGAAAAGAGGTGGACACTTTTGTATAAAATAATATTCATCCATAATGTACTGGCAAGTTCATTCTGATCTGCCATTGAACATTTTGTAACCAAAAAAAAAAAAAAAGCATAAATATTTAATGGGGCTTTTGTGTTTTTGTCCCCTTAGATATAGTATCTGTTTTTAAATTTTATTGTCCATTTACTTTAGTAACAACTACCATCTAAACTTCTATATACAACAAAAAGAAAAAAAAGGTTGACTTGCCAATCAAAAGAACAAAGCTTAATTTAGCTCCCCTTTGAAAATTAATCACAGCCAAAGTTGCTCAAACTTCCAACACCTTTGACCAATCTTGGGAAATGACATTATTCATGTCAATATCATCATTAAGTAAATAATCCAATGTTCTGCTGAAATCATCTGCCCAATTGAAATCAAACTGCATATCTTCAAGAATAATGGATGATGGAGAAGAAGATGATGAGGATGTTGAAGTGGTTGATTCAGAATGGAATAAAATTTCATGTGGTTTAATTACGGGGACTTCGTCGGTACAGAAGCTTGTCCCCGTATTCTTCTTGTTGTTGTTGTCGTCGTCTTCTAATTTGATCTCTGTGATTGTTGATAGTATAGGAGTTTCAACCATCTCCTTGTTGTGATCAAGAATATCTATTATTTCTGGGACAACATGAGCAGGGGAAATTGGCATTGTAATTTGTTTTTCTTGTTGAATAATTGGTTGATTTTTTGTTGGTGGTTCTATGTTTGGTTGGTCAACAGTAATTGACTGGTGAGTGATTGGATCAATCCCCATTTTCTTCAGCTTCTTCTTGATATGTGTATTCCAATGATTCTTGATTTCATTATCAGTTCGTCCCGGTAAATGAGAAGCAATCTTAGACCACCTAAGGAAAATATTTACACGATCATATCACTTACAAAGTATTTATAAAATTTATAATAAATATTAACTGATTACGTAGTAAAATAATAAGCAATCTGCAATCATATAATAAAATATATTGATACCATAAAAGCTTGTCAATATATATTACTTAAATCAATAGGATAAAAGGAGAAATACTCTACACATGAAATAACATCAATCAACTATGTCATAATCTCAAAAATAAATTATGGCAGATATACAAATTCTTTTCAATATATTATATATGGTTCGTTCTATTCAGACCTGCTTTTCTAATATTAATGTATTAATCATTAATCATTATCCGAGAAAAGGAAAACGAATTTTTGAAGTTCAATATTACGATAACTTATTTCCCACTTGTGTAAAAAGTGTATTGAATAGCGGAAAAGAAAATTGATTGTAAATAATGACAGTTGAAAGGTACACAGTGGAGAATGGGTGCCTAAAATTGAGTTGAAGTTGTTGTCTGCCACTCTAGACATCATTTTAAGTCACGCCTTTTCTTTGTTGATGTTGCTTTAAATGAGCTTCACATAACATATACACACAAATTCAGAATTTAAACGCAATAAAAATTAGATTAAAAAGATTCAGAAAAAATATATGTAAGTCTATTTATACTTTCCGTTCACACACATATATATAGAATTAGACACGTTAAAGTTAGATTATGCCAAACCTCCAAACTCAGGGGTGAAGTTATGTGTGGTCAAGGGTTGTTAATTGAACACTTTTGCCAAAAATTTATATTGTGTATAAGATAAAATATTACTCCTTATTATTGATTAAAAAATAGACTTTGAACACCCATGTATAGCCTGCTGACATTTTGACCACCTTTATTGAATTTTCTAGTTTCGTCACCATGCGAACCTATGGTTGAATCCAAATATATATCACAAGTCTAAAGGTGGAATCATAGATGATAATTAGCTATGAATAGAAAGAAATTATTGCATGGTTTTTTCAAAAGATGAATGGTTTTAATTACCTGTTGCCAAGCTGAGAATGAAGATCAATAACCATCTTCTCTTCATATTCAGATAGAAGTCCCCTCTTCAAATCTGGTCTTAGATAGTTTGTCCATCTCAATCTACAGCTCTTTCCACATCTCAGCAGCCCTGCACCAAATAAGTCATCTCAACATTATTAATGATGAAATTTTAAAAAGAAAAACAAGATTCCAAGAATCATTGTAATTCTAAACTATCTGGTGAATACTTCTACTATCAAGAAAATAAATTTATTGTCTGTCATTTTCATTTATATTTATAAAAGAAAATCCAATTTTTAATTAACAAAATCACCCCCACCTTTGGATTTCTTTTTTAGAATTGGACCAATGGGGTTGGTACAATCATTCAAATTAAACCACTCCCTTTTCATTTTTCAATTAGCTTATTAAAAGGTACAACCCCTACACCTTTTTTACACCCTCCCTTGTTCAAGGGAGGAAGCGGATCGTTTGTTACATGGGATAAGGATAATAATTTTGAGATAGAATTTGAGATTAATTTTAACCCATATTTGGTTTGGAACATTATGACATTATCTAATCTCAAGACAACTTATACACTAAAAAATGATAGGATTAATTATCTCACGTAAAAGGTGGGATAACTATTCCCATGGGATATCCCACTATTGTACCAAAACGACCCCTAAGAAGGGTGTTCAAGATTCTTTGTTTTATATGATCTGTATACGGCCATATAATTTTATAAAGAAGGTGTTCAACTGGTCACCCTTCGACACACGAAACCATGTCAAACAGAGTAACAAATTTAGGAAAAATGAGAGAGACCTGCAACTTTAGGGAGAGATCTCCAGCAGCATTGGCCATTAATAAGAATGAAGTTAATAAGCTTCTTGTCTTCTTCAGCTGACCATGGACCTTTCTTTACTCCATCTTTGTCACAACAAGGTTTTCTCCCCATATTCTTCTACAAAACAATACTAACCAATAGTTTTAGCAAGATTTTATTGTTTATGAAAATTGATTTGAGAGAAAATTGTAGGAGGAGAAAAGAGTTGCAGAAATGAAAGAAGAGACCCTATAGAATAAGTCTATTAAGACAAGCACCAAAGACTACATACATATATATAAATCAAAATCTACCCCACCCCTCAACTCCCCACCCCCAACCCAAAAGAAAACACACTGCCATTAACTAATTTTTCTTTTGGATTTACATAATATTCCCTTACAATATAGATATTAGTAGTATAAATTAATTATCATACTAATACATTTATTAGGTTACCAATTAGTAATGCTTATTATAATAATTATTTATATTTTTCTTATAAGTGATTTGATTGTGAAAATATTTTTTACATAATTAGTACATTAACCTAAGTCTTTTTTTTTCATAACTTATTTATAGATTTATTGATTTGTTTTTAAGAAGAAAATTTTGAGTTTCTCCACATTGTTGCTCTACTCATGCAGCGCGTTCCGGCGCGTGACATTGTTACCTTCTGAAAGCGCCACTTCAACATCTCCTTTCCTCTCTTTGCTTTAGTTTGAAGAATAAATTGTATTTTAAGAGCAACTTTTGTGTAATTATACAATATACTTCAGACAGTTTTCTATGCCTTGACAATATAACTAATCTTTAAATATTTAATGTACTTTAATATTTAACTAATCTTTCGTTTTATTTTATATATCTTAATTTGACTTGGCGTGAAATTAAGAATGTAAAAAATACTTCCGAATCTAATATAACATACCAAAAGTTTTAAACTTAAAAACAAAATTGCATAACATACCAAAAGGGAGCGTCATTAAGTGCAAAATGAGAATATTGAAACTAAAAACTTATTAAATATAAAACTGTGATAGTTTTTTATTAACATATCGGAAAAAAATAAGACATATAAATTGAAATAGCTAGACTATTTCTCACGTTTACCGGCTATAAAATTAAACCCGTAAATTATTACAACTATATATGTTTATCCTTGTATATGTTCACAAGTATGATTGTTTACCACAAAAATGAGTGACAATTAAATTTGTACGTGGTTTAAAGGATACACGGTTTGATTAAATACGAATAATTAAGAATAACATATGGATAAATTAAGGATAAAATAAACGATCAAACCAATTGCAATATGATGACCAAACCTGATCTTAGATTGAACAGTGAAATTCATCATCGATCGAACCTTCCGCGCAAACTCGATCCTAAGTAAAGAAAAGAACAAACAAGCAATACTTTGAAGTTTGAACAATAGCCAGAAGACTAAAGTTAATTTTTTTTTATTGCTTTGAATCGCGTGTTGCAACGTGTAAGGTCAAATAAAAACTTCTCCTTTATATAGTAGGAGAATTTCAGTCATAGTATAAGTCTAAAGTAAAAAATTTGAACAATAGCTAGAAGACTAAAGTAAAAAAAAATTATTGCTTTGAATCGCGTGTTACAACGTGTCAGGTCAAATAAAAACTTCTCCTTTAATATGTAGGAGAATTTCATTCCTAGTATAAGTCTAAAAAAAGATAAAAATCTTCTTCTTCCGATAATTGTTGATCCAAAATCGATATTGAATGAGATTCGCGCCGTAATATTCGGTTGAGGGTTAATATTACGCCCCCTATCTATCATGCATAACTGTTTACCACATCTTCCGAGGTCTAGAAGTTACATTCGGTCTGGGATGCGTCGTTTTACCATATCCGATGTCGGATATATCGTTCATTCTGCCTGAGTCTGATATGAGGGATTTCTGGCCTCGGTTATAAGAACGCTGATGTGGGCTTTCTCTTCGTTCTCTTATCAGGGAATCGGGAAAAACTTTACCCCCGTTTTTACCTTTACACAATTTGTTGTTTAAGAAAAATATAAAAGAGGTAGTGTTTTGAGTTTTGATTATTCGAGATGGATTCCGTGATTTTTTCTGTCTTTTTTTTTTTTCCAATCATTTTTACCTGGTCCATGAACTTGAAAGAAACTGCAAACGTAACTTGATTTCTTAAAGTTAAATTCATCGAAAAAGGTAAAATTAAATTGAAAACATTGATCTTTCCTTAGACATAAATTCAGGGTATATATAAAATATTCATAAAATTAAGACTCTTTAAATGTGTATATACAAGAATAGTATACATCTATACTCCAAAATGGACCCACATTCGTATACACTAAGTAAATATTTGCCCCACTCTTGTCTAAAGATTAGGACCAAAGAAAATGTCCTTCGCCAGCTGGTGGTCCAAGTTAGTGTATTATACTGTTTTTACCAAATTCATAAAATACAAAAAATCTATTAGAAGACTGTTAAGAGTGAGTAAAATATATATTATAACTAATATGTGCAAATATACCCAACTTTTGTGTCGTGATTCTTTGTTTTGAATAAAGTTTAATAATGTCAATTGACAGTTCAGATATTCGATATTGTCAATCCCTATTTTCCTTTTTTATTTACTTTCTCTTTGAGATACAAGATATATACAAGTAGTATATAATCTACTCTTAGATGTTATACCTAATTTGTAACCACGTATATATATTCACCTTGTTGATTCTTGTTACTTTCTTAGACTCAAAATTAAAGTAATGGACAGCTATTAATTTGTTTTTTTCTTTCTTACCGAGTCAACAAATTTTCTTATATATCTTGAAAATCTAATTTACTGTCAAGAAGGATATCAATATTGATAAATGGATGAAGGGCAATGTTTAGATCAAGTCAATCTAGATTGATTAAGAAAATTAAGGATTCCAAACAAGGGAAGAATAAGGCAGATTGTCCATTTACTTATTTGTTACTTTATTTCTTGTAAAAGACCGTCAGTATGATCGGGGGTTAGGCTTGGACCCTTGCCTGTGTGTAAATAAAAAAAATAGGACATGATTGCTTGCAATGTCAAAACATTTCCCTCCTTTTTTTTTTTTTTTTTTTTTAAAAAGGCATTTCCCTCCTCCCATTGAATAGTCACATCAAGGATTTATATAATCATAAGTTGAGCCAAAATACTATAGGTAATGATTTTCGTCTTTCTTTTTTTTACACACAAATTTATATTCTGTCTCGGTAGCTATGAGTTTAATTGAATCTGTAGCTATAATGCTACACCCGCCACTGATTTTAGACTATTCTACTACCCGAACATTAATATATTACTAATATTATAATCTAGATATTTCAATATTTGTTATAAAACAATAAAAGAAGACGAGACTTACACATAAAAATAGAGAGAGAATTCTTATTCATTTAGAATGATTTACAATGGAATAGAACCTCTCTATTTATAGGGAAAAAGTGACTTCGCCACTAAATAACAAATCCTAAAATCTCTCTAAAATATAGACATTCATCTTAAATACAATTATATTTATAACACTCCCCTTTGAATGTCTATTCAATAGATAATGTGTCTCGTTAAAATATTAACTAAAATAAAACCCAGTGAAAAAAAAATTCTAGTGAAGGAAAAATATTACACATGTTTAGAAATACGATTTTTGGTTGCCTCGTTAAAAACCTTTCAAGGAAAAACCCAGTGTGACAAAATCTTATAAGGAAAAAAGAGTACAACGCGTATTAAATCTCCTGATGAGAGCATCAATTCACATCCTTGAGCCTTCGCATTTCAATCTTGTGCACCATCTTCAAAAGATCGTTGGTAGAGAATTGATAAACAAACAACCATATTAACTTGAATGAATATATTGCACCTTGAAATCATCATTCTTGATAGATATATGTCTTCATATAATATCGTGGAATGATTTTTCAATATGTCATGACCCAAAATCCCACCTCAGGCGTTGTGATGGCACTTAGTCTCTAAGACTAGGTAAGCCGATTTCAATTTCATTTCAAGATATTTTTTTAAAAAATAGATAATTGAAACCCACAGCGTAAATAATTATAACAACCTCCCAAGACTGGTAATACTGAGTCACGAACTCTAACTGAATACATGTAATGATCTCAAGGATCGAATATACAATATTGTTCGAATAAGAGTTGACAGTACAATAAAATAGAAAGACTCCAAGGGACTGCAACGACCAAGCAGCTCTACTTTGAATCCTTGCGATCAACATACTAACTCTTCCCGAGTCCGATATCTCCAATACCTGGATCTATACAAAAATGTGCAGAAGTGTAGTATGAGTATACCACAGTCGGTACCCAGTAAGTATCAAGACTAACCTCGATGGAGTAATGACGAGGTACAGTCAAGACACTCACTAGTCAAATAACATGTGCAATATAGCAGTATACAATAGTACTAAAAAATAACTAGCAGTGATAGCAACAAAATCAACCAGTGATATAAACAGCAAGGAAACAAGAACACCATAATTATTACTCAAACGAATAAGGAACATAAGTACAACCAATTAAACATGTCCTTCAAATATAAATCTTTCACATATAATTTTTCGAATAAATACCTTCCGAATATATTTCTTTTAAATAAATATCTTTCGAATATAAAATTCTTTCAAATAAATATCTTTCGAATATACTTCTTTCAAATAAATATCTTTCGAATATACTTCTTTCAAATGAAAGTCACTCTGTGACACCTCATTTCATAATCATAAAATATGGGTATCAACCCACTTTTATATTTTCGTAACACGGGTCTCAGCCCACTTTCATATTTCCACGGCACCCCGTGCCCATATATTCTATCAAAATCACACGGACAACTCACGTGCCAATAATAAAAATTATCATATTTTTTCCGGCACCTCGTGCCCGCATTTCATATTAAATCTGCACGGATAATTCAAGTGCCAATTACATAATTATTATATTTCCCTAGCACCTCGTGCCCACATTTCATATCACATTTGCACGGACAGTTTACGTGCCAATAACATAATCTACCCGACAATAGCCACATGCTCACAATTTCAACATAGATCAGACTATTATCAAGTTTACCGAAATAACAAGTCAAGTTGCACATGATATAAAAATAAACACAAGGAAAATCACAACATCACATAAAAATTACCAACGCAATAACACCCCATCATTACATAAAAAATGCCAACACAATAACCCCACATTAT